AATCTTGGACTTCATTTTTCACTTTAGACACCCTAAGATAGGGGAACTGGATCGTAGAATTGACTGTTGACAACAAATTCAGGTTGGGGAGTCGATACTCCAAATATCTTTGTGAATGAAATAGGTCAAAGACCTTCCTCTCTCTCAACAGTATCAACAACAGTACAACAGACGTGACAAAAATAATAAAATGGTCGTATTTATAGTTTTACAATCCATGAATAATAATTATTAATAATCACTAATAATCGATAATTAATCATCAGGAATCTTGAAGATTCCACAATATTTTTGAATAATACGTATAGTTGCAGGAGCTATTGATGGTATTAGTCTTGGACTGTTTGCAGTTGTTGGATTATTATTGATATCACTAGCTATTAGTATTATTATTCATATCTCCTGCTTAATCAAGTATGATACATTAATCAATACTATAGTTAAATGTCATTTATTTACAGGCTCAAGTCCTATCATAGGATCACTGCTAAACAAGCAAATAAGTAACTCTTTAAGAAGTAGATATGGTATTACTGTTTTTTTTAATTATAGAATTGATAATAATGATGTCATAGATAGTACTGTCTATGACGATATTATAGATCTACCAATGCAAGCATGTGAAACATATGGTATACACACAAACACAAAGATGGTGTTGTGTACTTAGGTGCAGTATTGACCAAAGCACAGCTTGCTTGCACGCAATAACAGTGGAAACTTTTAGTAAAATTATCTCTTCTCTTTTTCTTAAAAACAACACGTGCAAGAACATCAATAATATAATAAAAAGAACAATAGAGCCGGCCAGCGCAGGGCCCAATAATGATAATCATTGATCAATAATGAATTAGAGGTGTTAATGAATATATGTATGCATGAATACATAACATTCCTCCCCCTTTGGCTAACAGTTTACATAAAGAAGATAATTATGTGAACACACAAGTATTAATAAGGAAATAACTAATATTTACATTCTATAATCATAATACCATACACCATTATTAATAATAGCATGAACATGATATACTGTTAATAATGAAGTGGAGACCCATACCTTTTAGGCGGGTGTCTTGATCTATTGGAACGACGTACAGGATGATCCATAGTTGATTCATTCTCTTGTTCAGACGATTCTACTGAGTGATCGGGAGTAGAATGAGGAAGATTAGAGGGGTGAGATGGAGACAAGGGAGGTGAAGGAGATTGAGTGTTATCCTGATCAGAATCTTGAGTAAT